AACTATCTGTATCTATATCAACTATCTCCCAAAGTAAAAAAAAAAGAAAAAAAGAAAAAAAAAGGGAGAGACCTAGAGACAAAGTGAAGGAGGACGTCCAACTTCTCCAGATTAATTACCCAGATCAGCCAAAGTTCACAAAATCTTCGACGGAAGTTCCAAAACGCTCTTAACAATTTTCAAACAGAACGACGTCGTCAGCTGTTTATCAGTGAAGAAATATTCCTAACTCTATACATATAATTTGTTTGCGGTGTGTGTAGTGTGATTTTTTTTTCTTTCTTAAGAACCACAATTTCTTCTTCCTTGCTCTAAGAATGATGTTGACATGAAGGAGAGAAAATAATGGACAAAAATATATATATACATATATATATTTCCTAAATAATATATATATATATATAGATATATATAAGAAATATATATAGAAATATATTCCATTTTGCTAGTAGCGTAAGATGAATATATATAAAAACTGTTGCATATGATGCATAGAAATCATATCATAAGGAAGCATGACGTGCAGAAGGACAGGAAGGTCTTGCGCATGTTGAAACGTTGCATGACGCATGTCCATTAAAAAAAAAAAAAAATCAAACTGAATATAAACAAACCAATCGATAGAACCAAACGCACAATCTCGTGTAATATATGCAGAAAAACGGACAAAAGTTCGTTATCAGTTTTTCTCTCATATAAGGAGGCACAACAACCCATTGCCAGGGAACCACACAGGCAGCTACCCCAGTTGCAAAAAAAAAAGAATAATAATAAATGACTTAAATAAGTTAGAGCTCATGCCAGAGAACCTTTCCTAGATATTCAGTCAACTAGGAGTCTAAGTATGTCTAGAGTGATCATATTCACCATAGATTAAACATCATCATATTTAGGGGAAGAATAAAAGAAAGATGAAGCATACAGAGAAAAGGTGTTACAATATGATTATTATTATTTTTAAGTATGTATATATATGTAAAAAATAATAATCAAATCCCAAATCATTTGCTTTTTAGTTAAAAAGGTTTCACGGGGATCCATGCAAGTAAAAAAGATTCTACTTATAAACAAACTACTAAAGGCGAGACAAGAAAAGAGAGACAAGACTGGCTTTCTTGTGAGAAAATAAGAGAAAGAGAGAGAAGAGAGAGAGAGAGAGAGAGAGAGAGAGAGAGAGAGAGAGAGGAGAGAGAGAGAGAGAGAAGAGAGAGAGAGAGAGAGAGAGAGAGAGAGAGATAAATAGAGAAAGAAGTAGATAGAGAGAGAGAGAGATAGACTGATAGAGAGAGACAAGAGATGACTAAGAAAGAGAAGACAGATAGAGAGAAAGATAAAGAAGAAAGAAAAAAGATTAAAAAAAAATAAAAAAAAATAATCAATCGATCGACACAGCTAGTTCATCCAAACAGAACTAACTAGGAACCGCAGCCAGAAAGACAAAAAAAAAAGAGTAAAAGTAAGACCTCAAAAAAAAAAAAAAAAAAAAAAATCGAGAAAAAGGAAAAGAAAATATGACACACACACACACACGCCCACACAGAGCTTAAGAATAAACCCCGAAATCAAGCTTACCTGCGGGCTGTTGGTGTGCCATGGGCGTTACGGAGCCAAGGGGGAGGAGGGTGGGGAAACCTAACCGATCATGGCACCTGGGGCACAGCTGGGGCGGGCATCCCTGGAACAGCTGTAGAGGGGAGGGAGGAGGGAGGGGAAGGGGGAGAAAAGGAGAAAGTTAGTTTTTTTTTTTTTTTTTTTTTTGTTATGTGTGTTGTTATTATCTGTTGTCTGAATGTATGTCTGTTTTTGTGTTGATTATCCTTTTTTTCATTATCTGTCTGTCCTGGGTTATTATCTTCTGTATTAATATCTTTTTTATCCAATATGTCTGTCTATCTATGTATCTGTCTCGAATATTCATAACCTGTAAAATTCTCTATAAATCTTTAACTTTCATATATTCTCATTTCTAGCTAGCACAATCAATATACTATATTTATTTCAAAACAACTGAAATTCAACTATTTAATTCTACTCATCCACTCAAAAAGATACCACATATATATCACAAAAAAACCTAATTATGATTTTTAAAAAAAGTAAATACTGTAATATTTTCTAAAAGCAATGACCTCAGGTTCGTGGAAAAAAAAATATATATACACAAATAATTTGAAAAGGCCATGACACAGTTCATTCTAATTCAATAAAATGCATGACAGCATGAAATATAAAACCAGGAGATTCAATTATAACTTGTGTTTAAAAACGAATTGGGATAATCGTGAGTAAATAATATTTAGACTAAATTGGAAGAGAGATAAGGAAGGGGAGACGAGAGCGGAGAGAGAGAGAGAAGGAGAGAGAGAGAAGAGAGAGGGAGAGAGAGAGAAGAGGAGAGAGAGAGAGAGAGAGAGAGGATGAGAGAGAGAGAGAGAGAGAGAGAGAGAGAGAGAGAGAGAGAGAGAGAAAGAGGAAAGAGAAAGAGAAAGAGAGAGGAGAA